TTACCTTGCTGGGTGTGATAGATAGAAGACACAAGAAAATGATAAGATATAGTCCCTGCTTAATACAAACTAGTCAGGAAGAGGCGTCATTTATAAAAGCTCTTAGAAAAGAGCCCGACACATAGTAAGTAATATGTACATACTTGATCAAGCAATCCATCAAACTATATAACACTAGTTAAAACATATTTAGCCTTTGCTATGGCAACCACTTTGCATTAATCTCTTTCGATGCTTACAACAAGTTTATGAAGAAGGTACTATTAGACCCTCAGCTTGCAAATGGGGCCTAGAGAGCATAAGTAGACAAGCAAATTTTTGTTCAAGGATAAGTAGACAAGCAGAACTTTAGCTGTGGGGCTCCAGAGCCTCTTAACCACAGTGCTGCATACCCCCTTCCCCCAGGCAATGCTCTTTGTGTGAGCGGATGTGACTTTGGATATTTAATGTCCATTTTAGAAGGAAAAAAAGACACACCCTCAAACTGCATTCTCAATTATTTATCACTGCACAGTGTCTTCTGAATTTTATCAGTGTATAAAAATGTTTTGCACTATTGTAATTGGTCTGTATACGTTTAGCTCTTTTCACTCAGTATTATTTTGTATACATAATTCCATATGCTTAAATTCTACTAACTATATATCATATGCATGCCAGTATCCATAAATATGGAATCCTTGTCCAGTTCACTGTTGTTAGCTATTCAGGTTACTACTTCATTTTCACTATGATGAGTAATAGTATTGCCATAATAAGCTATAAACATATTCCTTTGGTCAATAATCCCATTTCGAGATTACCAAATCAAATTATTGAATCAAACATGATGAACAATTTTATGATTCTTGGCCCATACCAGATTGCTCTCCAGAAGAAATGTCCAATTTATCAAGCCAGGAGAAAGGTGACGGCACACCTCTTAGTCCCTAACTCTATCAGCACTTAAAAAGAATTACTTGGTTAGTTTTGCTAATTTAACAGATACAGTAGAACATCATGGTCATTTCAGTTTCAATTTCTGTATTATTAGGAAAACTAACATTTCCCATACTTTCCTGCCTATATTTTTATGTGCAAAATATTTGTTTTACCCTTTGTCTTACTTATATATTAAGGAAATACTTTTTGAAACCTGAGGAAAAGTGTTTAAATATTAATGCTTTAAATATCTCTGAGAAACTCTCATGTTCAATTTCAGTTGACGAATATTTTTGAGCTACCTGCACTCTGCACAGATACTGTCATTAGACCATAAGAAATTATAAAATAAAAATAAATAATTGTATTTGTCTAAGAAGTTGGAGATGGTGCCAAGTAATACAACTACCTGACACTACCAGAGAGAAAAACAATTTAACACACATGGTTCAATAAATGAAAATACCATTTCCCCCATTACTGGATGCTGCTTAGCTATTTTTTCTTTAAGAGTTTCAGGCTCTTTTGAGAATCTGATAGAAATCGATGGGTTACCTCCATGGAAAATGACTATATGCATACATTTTTCATAAGGTTTCAGATTTCTATGCATCCCCAGTTCAAGACCTCTGTTTTACAGCAATCTTGGTCTTATCTCTATCATTTTTTTCCTTCAAAATATTTCTGCCTACTTCCCTCTTCTCTACATCTCTTTGTTCTACAGCAGGTTATAGAAAGTAACAAAAGAGGAGAAAACGTGAATGGACAGTTGTCAGTGCTGTCATGACAGTGATGAGCTCTGCGATAGAGGTAAGGTCAGAGTGCTGTGGCAGGGTGCTGGAGGAGAGCCATCACTCTGGCCTGAGTCGTCACCGTTCACCTAGACAATTACAATAGCTTCCAAACTGGTTTTTCAATGTCTCTTTTGCCTTCTGCCTCAGTTCATTTTTTGCCCAATAAAACAAGGTTTAGTCTTTTTAAAGCCTAATCAGGTTACGTTATCTCTTTGTAAAACTCTCTAATCACACTAAGAGTAAAATTCAACCCCCCACCCGTTGCTTCTAAAGCCCTGTTGACCTGGCCCAGGCCTCTCTCCTACTGCTCTCAGTGTAATCCTTTCTAGCCCCGCTTTCCTTCTGACTCAGGACTTTTCCACTTACTTTTCCCTCTACCTGGATCACACATCTTCTGGAGCTTCCCAGGACTTTCTCTTTTCATTTTAGGTCTCAGACAGCTGATAGGGGCATTCCCTGACCATACCATCTAAACTCTTCTATCCTGATCACTCTTACCCCTAGTCTTGTTTTATTATTTTTTATCACACTTGTCTCTACCAGGCATTTTATTAGTATGTTGTTTGTTTTCTGATTTCCCCCTTTTGTAAGTGCCATGAGGATAGGGACTTTGTCTATCTCTAGGACTTAGAACAGTATCCAGTACACATAATAAGTTGTTCAAATATTTGTTCAATAAATGTTAAGGTTAATGCTTTGCTTTTGTACTAGAGGCCATAACTGATTCCTGCTCACAGAGTAAAAAATTTAAAAAAAAAGTAAAAAGTAAACATCTTGAACTACTCCTAAAAGGATAAAAGGTTTGTAACAATAGCCAACAGTCTGATTGTCATATCTGAAACTTATCTATTATCATAAAAAAATAGCATGAGAAAAGCAGATTTATAACTTTTATAAAAAGGATGTCATATATTGTATTTAAAAAATATCGAGGCAAACACATATTAAAGGATTGAAACAACAGAGGTTATTAAATTAAAAGTAGAAATATTTGTCATATACACTCATATTACACACACACACACACACACACACATATATATAATTTTCCTAAGGATAGACTAAGTTTCTAACAATGAAATATTTGAGCCTAGTACCACCAAATTGCTCTTACAGATATCATATCAATTATACTTTTAGCAATAAAATATGAAAATTCTTGTTTCCTTAATTTCTTGCCAACTTTGGATATTAGTTAAAAATTGTAGTCAGTCTCATGGACTGAACAAAATGGTGTTTTTTATTGTTTTGCCTTTCTTTTCTTTAATTATAAAGATATACTAAATGGTGTTTAATCTCACTCAAAATTAAGGAATACCTTCTTCAGTGGTGTGGTTCTCACTCAAAATTAAGGCATATTTTCTTCAGTGGTATGGTTCAAAAGGGTTGGGCATTTATTACAAAGGGCATGGAAATGAGATGCATCTAAAATAAACTTTATGTAATTAATTCTCACTTCCTTTAGGATATACCACCATTGTATACAGTTCAAACCCTACAACTTTCTCCTATGCAAAACAATTTATTGTTCTTCATTAAGCATCTATCTTCCCATTGTAACATAATGGTCTTCTAATGGCCAAATGCAGTGGATACTAGTAGTGCTCCTGTTACTTGCCTTCTCTTTGGTTTTTGGCATTATACAATAACCCCTCCTTGAGATTTTTTTCTTTTCTTTTCTTGCTTGTAGGACATGTGCTCTGGATTCTCTATAACTCTAATATCAGTCCAAGTTTGATTGCAGTATACTTTTTAGTACATCCCCTAATCTTTTTAACCTTAAAAGTTGATCTTTAGCATCTTCCCACACAATACACACACTCTCTGTTTTATCTCTTTTATTTCCATATCACCATCATGATGATAAGTCACAGTTTTTTTTGTTTTTTGTTTGTTTGTTTGTTTGTTTTTAAAAAAACACATCTTTATTGATTTCAGAGAGAGGAAGGAAGAGGGAGATAGAAACATCAATGATGAGAGAGTCATTGATCAGCAGCCTCCTGCACACCCCTGACTGGGGATCGAGCCCGCAACCTGGGCATGTGCCCTGACCAGGAATCGAACCACAATCTCCTGGATCCTATGACGATGCTTAACTGCTGAGCCACGCCGGCGGGGTGATAAGTCACAGATTTTGATCTCAGTTCAGCTCAGATATCTTCTGGTATATTTACCTATAGTCCAATGGAAATATCCTTCTGAATATTCCACAGGAAACTTAACTAAATAGATCTCCTTTCCTCCTCCACCACCAGCAAAATTCCTCACTTCCTTCTCCACCACCGTCCATTCAACCACTCAGGCCTCAAGCCTGGGCTGTCACCTTCCACAGCCAGCTGGCCATTCTTGTGTTAGTCTCTTAGTTTTCAAATACATCCCACTTTGTTTTTCACACTGCTACCACCACCCTAAAACAGCCCAATATATGGTTTTTGAATGATAGATTAGTGAACAAATTGAACAGGAAGATAGTAAAGTAAAAGATATGATGGCACATAGCACCCTATTTTAATAATCCCTGAATAGGTTTTTTATTGCTTCTGTTTTTCAAAGTGTTTTTAGGACTGGAGTTCTCTTCATTCAACGTCATGAAATGCCATTATAATCTGGACATTACTTGATGTTTCCTTGTACATGCTTGCCTTTCTTCCCCCTGCCTCCCTTATAGGCGTGCCTTTTTCCCCATTTCCTTTTTTTCTCCCTGAAATCTTGCCTTTCTCGCTCGGTCCCTCTTTCGCTTCTGCTTCCCTGTCCCTGGCCAGGCG